TCCCCATCCCGATGTTGTCGGTGCTAAGGAGCAACCGTGCGGAAATCTCTTTTTGGGCAGCCGCGACAACCACCGGACGAAAGTCCTCGAGCGTCACGACTTTCCGGTTCTCGAGGATCGTGACACTCCGAGGTGCGTCGGGATCGAATCACCGGTGCATGAAAGCCATAGTAAGGTCAGGCAGAGATCAGACGATAGGGCGTTCGGTCGGGCTTTTCCCGTTTCGATTCTTGGAAAAGACTTCCAGACGTTTAGGACGAAGAGCGGGGCAACCGGCTCCGCACGGAAGAAAGCCTGCAGCGGTGCGCTCGCGTTCGATATCCGAGTGCAGAAAGATGGCTTTGAAAGGCATCCTAAGCAGCATGTTTATGTTAATTTTATGTAAAAGGAATGTAAATTTTTTGTCCATTTTATATCATCGTTTTTATCATTTTTNGGGGGGGGGGAGGAGATGAAGAATTGTGCGCCTCAGCATTGTTCATTTTGGCAGCCAGGACATAAGACGCTTACTTCAAATGAGAAAGAAGAAGGAACATAATGTGACGGATGAGGATGACATCGAGAGGGTCGACTGCTTGTCCCTAGTTCGGCGGTGTAGTGGCGGCACACCTGACCAGGAGGCCAGGGTTCAATTCCCGGCCGTTCCTAGGCTTTTTTTTCGGCCTCTCATGCCGTCTGTCGTCCGTCTCCAATGTCCATTTCCGTAACATTAATTTAGGATTGGAGCTGCCGAACTAGAATGGGGAAAAATGCGAATGCGATAAAAAAAAATGTTTTTCCGTGCAGTAAATGCTTCATTTTTCGCTCCTTCCAAATGGACGAGACAGCTAAATGCTTGATGTCGGTTCCCCCCCCCCCCCTCCCGTCCAAAAAAAAAATTCAACATGGTGCTTCTAAGGTCTCCGATCTTATGATAGCAAAAGCATATCATGGCGTAGCTATCCTGATTTTCTTTGATTCATGGCGAACCACCGTACAGCCGCTGCTTCGTCTTACATAGTACGTCATTGCAGAGTTCTTGCTTGGCCTGATGATGCATTTGCAATCAGCACTAGACGGCGTGACTGATTCCTGTTCCTGGTTAATTTCGGTCAACGCTCCGACACAGAGACGATGCCATTAGTTCTGTGATTTACCGCCATGTCCAAATGAAGCATTTGCAGGGTCACATTAGGGGGCAAATGCGGGGTCGTCTCAGCACATGGATGAACCTCTGCAAAGAACGAGAGATCGAACCATTCTTAAAAGAGCAGAAAACAGCTGAAAATCGAAAATAAGTCGACACCAATGAAATATTGAAATACTCCATATGGAGCTTTTCTCTCCGCAAGTTGCCTAAGAGGTGCTGGGGTGCCACACGATCAATCACATGAGGAGTGTGCCCCATTCCACACATGCAAACATGCAAACATAACAAGTGGTCTGAAGATGGTGAGGGGAAACATCTCTCGTTTTTATACTGAAAAAAACTAGATTCACTGGAAAATTTTTTCTCTAAAGACTCTATGAAATGGATTTTTTCTCTCGTCCCGCATTGCAGTGATTAATCGAAAACAGCAGGCACAAGGATCGAATTCGTGCAAATCTTACTTCAAGGAAATGCGGAATTGCAGGATGAATTGGGGCAAGACCGGGTGGGGGAGGGGGGGTTGGCTGGAACTCCGTGGCTCTCCACTTTTCCAAAACTCCATCTTTCTCTTCTATTCCTGCTTACTCGGTGTGATCTCAGCAGATGTTATTTTCCATCATGCTGCACATTCAGGGAAGAGATACGAGAATTTCCCTTTAGAAACCAAAGAAGCGAAATTCGGAACTTGCGCAAAAAGATGCATTCGTCAGACATCCCCCTGCTATGCTTTCAACTATCGTGAATCCGATGGTTCATGCCAGCTTGTTCTCAATGGCAAAAGTGACCTCGTGGAAGCGAACGGATTTGAATCCTACGTTCAGAGTGAGTCATCGACTTGAAATACATATGACAAAATGGCCAAGGGGATGAATTCAGTTTGTCTAAAACACAGGACTGTGCCTGACGGAGCATCCAAAGATTCCGAGCGCCTCAGTGTCCTTTCATTTCAATTATCGCTACTTCCGATGAAATCTCACTCGTTTTTAGAATGTAAAATTTTCTACACTTTCATGCCGTATGCCTTCGGTCTGCGTTGGAAACTCCTTTGGAAACCGACTCGCAAATTATGATTCGATACACCATTGACAAACTAATGCGTACATTCCTTTCTTTTAATTTGCAATGTACAAGGGCATTGTGCACGACTAAAGCATGTCGGAAGTTCTTAGCGCTTTTTACTGAAAAATATAACGAGCGATCGCAATATGATGGCCTCCGACGATACCTACCCTGAGCTAAGGTTACATGGTGCAGCGCGATAACATAGGCCCGGAGACAAACCGGAGGCGTCGCCGATCTTCTTTTGCACTTCGGGGGACTTTGGCGTCTTCCTACGTGGTGACGTTTTCGCTCTCGGCGTGGTGCACCGAGGAGCTCTGGTTCGTCACGGCGTCGCATTCGAGTCTCGTTTGCTTAAATTCCAAAACGTTACCATAACTTTTTCTTGGGGAAAGTCCAGGCACAGAACTAAAAACATTTGGAACGCATTTCTAGTACATGAAGAGGAGATTCGCAAGAGCTGCGTTGGTGCCGATTGCATGAACTTATTAGATGGTGAGGGTATTACTTCCCAAACATTGTCAAAACGTTGTTCAGGCCAGTTGAAAATATCCTGAGGAACCCATCACTATCAATTCTTCAAGCGCATGCATTTATAGAAATCACTCTGTCCCCCATCATCTCGTTTCCATGCAAGCACTCTTCTCTAGTTCAGTTTCAGTCGGCACCTCTTAGGAGGCACATCTCGTGACTGCCGCAATGGCTCGGGAACCATCCAATCAAGCTGAGCAGGGATTGAGCCCTGCGACATCCTCCGATCCTGGATCGATTCGGCACTCGGGTCGATCGAGACCCACACTTGCGATTTCCAATCCTGTTCTCTGGGTTTCCTTTTTTTTCCGGTCTCGTCGAAAGAGACGGAAAGGACTTCACGTTTTAGGGGGGAAATCGGCTGGAAGGTCCCATCTTTCTCTCCTACGATTATATTACTTTTCTTAAACAAGTCATCATTTACTTGAGTAAGTACGTGAAAATTTATTCAGTAAATGAATTAAAGTTTGAATTAATGAATTAATGTAACCCTTGCTAATTTCCCAGACATTGAAAAAGTGTTCGACACTGTATGACACGACGAACTCAAACAGAAACTCTTAGAAATCAATGCATCACAAATAATTAGTGCAACATCAGAACTCAGCAAATAGTGCAACATCAGAACTTTTTGTGCCGCTAGCAGGAGTGCCACAAAGAGGTGTTATCTACCGTCAACGATTGTTGCGCAACACATACGTGAATAATATCTCAGAAATTTTGCACTCTAAGTCCCAATATGCTGACAACAAAGGTCCATGGTGCAATGACCAAACCAGAATCAAGAACAGAGTACAACAAGATTGATGAAAGATCCTCAGATGCTGCTTAACATAGATAATGAAAATAACGAATCCAAAACCACGTCAATGATGTTCACAAATAAAAACTTTCCATAGGAAGAAGTATAAAGGTCCAACTAGAAAGGAAAACTATTACCATAGAAGGGACTGCGCAATTTCTTTGAAGGGATCTGCTAGAAAACGGTAATCTTAAAAAACATTTCCATAACTCAGGAATGATGGCTATTAGAGGATAAACATCACAAGATCCGTCACATGCCCTCACTGGATATCGACAGAAAACACAATATATCATATTTACAAACATTTGACTAGATCCGAAATTGAATATTGTGCACCCGATTAAATTTCAGCTGAAGACAATATATTATAAATCCTCCCAGAAATCCTAAAAAAGGTATCCAAGCTAGCCTGCCAAGTGCTGCTGCAAAGTAAAGCAGAAGAAGTTGAACAGCTGAAACGATTCATAATTCTTCTTACTTAACACGTATGACCAAAATACATTGTCACTGCTATGCGGGTAGGAGAACATGCAAACATAGCCCACCATTATGAACTTTTGGAGGTTCTGTCCTGAATGTCCACCGCCTACAGGAGGTTCTCATACCGTGTCTACGAAGAGGTCCCTCCTTTCAGAGACATCATCCAAATGCATGAGATCAAAAGCATCAGTCGATAGAAAATGGGAACCACATCACACACACGTCCCCTTGGAGCACATTTTAACACCTCGTTCGCTTGATGCGCCAGAAGCCATTCCGATGTTATCGACCTGGAGTCGATGTGCAGGTGAATGATCGACTTCCTTTCACTCTCTTTGAGGAAAACGACCAACAAACGAAAACCCAAAACTGAAACATCAGGTTCTCACTCGGATCTTCCAAGAGAAATATAGGGAAAAGGACGTGATGAAAGGACTCATTCCCTTTCATGAATGTGTCTGTCATAATGCATGTGCCAATGAGGGGAGGCGCAAATGACCAATATGTGTTTTAGGGCAGGTGAGGACATCACATCATTATTTTCGTTCAGACTGGCATCAAATGTTACGAAATTGCTACCTCAAGTGGATTCAATGTTTCTTTTCTCTGATAGCATCGAACTCTTCAGCATGAATTGATATCACATTCTTCCATTGCGGGATCAGTTCCAGCTCCATTATAGCACCAAGGCCCGTTCCACGATCCAGTAGGATTCCGACAAAAGTTGTGAGAAGGATGCAACTCGTCCGGGAATGATTCGAATTTCATATACGGATCTTTTTTTGATATGTCATTAGGTGCAACACTCATCCACCGCTGGCAAGGGAAACCTGATTTCGTAACATTCTTCGTTCCCATGTACTTCTCTCCTCTTCGGTTTCTTTTGCACTCCAATGGACCTGGTTTGAAAAGAAGCATTGGCGGTATTTAATCCACGAAAATGGGAGGACAATTTTTGGAATGAAGTTCCACGAAGGCAGGGAAAATGATTGTGTGCTATCCGAAGATATTCAAGAAAACAAAGAAAGACCCACTAATGCACACTCCCGAGACACGAATATCGCATCGTTCCCCTTCTTTCCTGGGACAAAAGGGAACATCGCAATATTCCCAGTCCTGCCTGTTGGGGGATTTTCTGAGAAAACACCATGGACCATGGGCATTGTCAGCAGAGTTGCGGCAAAAGTTGTGGTTTCCATCAATTTCATCAGGAAACTTTGATAGAAAGTCAATCGAAACGTGACCATTTGGAAATTGAGCCAACCAGTGTTGGCACGGAAATCCCGAAATGGTCGTATTCTGCCTTCCGACATATTCACTGCCGCTTCGCGTCAGCTTGCATTTGGACGGCTCTAAAAGAGAAGGAGACTGCGCTCAAGCAATGAAGCAGCCAATTTCATCACGATTGAATTGAGGGACGCACCGAGGTTATGACAGAAGGGAATGTCGCAGTATTCCCACTTGATGTCTGGGTCAGAGACGAAACACCATGGCCTTTCCCTCTGCAGAGAAGGGTTCCGACAGTAATTCTTGTGGATTCCTGGGTCTCCATAGATGAAGTGATCCGAATATCCCATTTCCTGATTGAAGAAATCCCATGGCATGCCATACGGCTGAGATTCCCAATCAAGACAAGGCTTTCCCGTCTCAGTCACATCCTTTGTCCCCACATATTCCTTTCCTTTCTCCGTCAGTCTGCATTCGGGGTACTCGTTCCCCTCGGGTCCAACTTGAATTTCTTGGATCTCACAGAAGGGAATGTCACAGAATTCATAGCCCGGATTTTCTTTTATTAAACACCAAGGAGCGCCGTTTCCATTAGGGTTGCGACAGAAGCTGTGTACCTTCTCAGTTTCTTTGTAATCCGGAAATGTCGGTATGAAGAATGTCTCCATTTCAGGAATTGTCATTGTCGTATTTTCCCACCAAGGTTCGCATGCATATCCTGAATGGCTCACGTTCTTCCTTCCAAAGTATTCACCACCCTGTTGAGTTATCTTGCACTCTGGAAGTTCTTTGCATAAAACAGTAGATTTCGGTTAGTGTAATTTGGGGGAATATGGTCGTACAAAATGAAACCCGGATTAAAAAAAGGCCCATCAAGGCCGAATTGGACGTTTACAATGTTTCTAAAATACTGATTCATGTCTCCTTTACTAAATCCCAGCAAGGCACAGGTTTTTCCAGGAACGTGTGAAATATGCTGGAACATGCTGAGTACTTTTAAACATAATAATGGAGACTCAGCTATTGAAAGAAACATGAACTACATTGAGGACTAGCAAAGAAGTCGAAATCATTACCTGACGCAAGGACCTGCTGTGGAAAGCAGGATAGAAGAGCTTATTTTCTTTTCTTTATTTCTTTGTTTTTGTTTCCAATATGTTTGAGATGTTGGTAGGCGTGTTTCCGGTCCGATTTCAAACGATAATTAGTTGGGTTGTCAGCTGATTGGAGAGATGTAAAAATTCGGAATTTTTAGAATTCTCAGATCAAATCCTGTCTGTCCCAGTTCAAATTCCCCCTGAATTTCGGAAAAATCCTGGAGGATTTTATTTGGACCGGGCGCGCTCTGCATGATTTCGTGGTTGGGGATACGGTATCAACAATCTAACATGGTGAAAGGAGTCGAGATTCTTGTTGAAGGGCTGCATCTTTATTTACATACGTGGGTGGGCACTTGGTGGGCATCGTTGACTTTTCTCCTTTATTCGTTCCACGGCAGCCTTTGAGTTTCATTGTAACTGGGCTGAGATAGTGTTCGCGGCCACTTTAGGGGTCTATTGATTTGTTGGCGCATTGGAGGCAAGTCTGCTAACAAGCTCCAATTCTGCCGGCTTGAATGAATGAAGTCGGCGTTTTCAACTGTCTCCTGAAATCTTTATCAGGGAGTAGATGAGTATCAATGGCCGGCAGTGAAGTTTTTTCTTTATGGCCGTCATGAGCAGATGCCTGAACTGATCGAAGCATCCAGGCTGCAGTGGACATGGTCGTCCATTATCATCGATCGTTTTCTTCACGGCTTAGATGAACCCGGGATAGTGAGGCAACCACTGATTGCAGTGTGACTTTGAGACACTGAATATGTCGAATATCTCTCGAGATAAATATGCAGCATGGCTGGCCTGAATTCTCCTCTCTATGGGCCCGTTATCAAGTGCCTCCTGCGACTCCAGTTTTATGATGGTGGGGGTGCCTAGACGCGCAGCCCCTACCAAAGGCGAGTCCTCTACATTATGAACTCCCTATGGGACTTGGCCATTGGCCCTCTGCTCTGGTAAGCAAAACTCGCGATGGAAACTCCTCGAAGGAACATTAGGCGAATTGAATTAGTCAATTAATTACGATGATATGGTTTAGGTACGGAAATCTTTCGCGATATATTCACCTGCATTAAATTCCTCAGATAACATATATATCATATATTATAATCAGCGAGTGATGAGGGCATATAAAAGAGGACGAGGATGGATTTAATGGAATAAATACCAGTATCGGTGCACATGGGGATATCACAATATTCCCATTGAACATCTTCGTTCTTGACGAAACACCATGGCCTCTCCCTTCCGGATGGGTTACGGCAGTAGTTCTTGTGAGACCAGGTATCCAGGTTGTAGAAGTGCAGAGAATAAGGTAAAAATTTGAGAAAATCATCGGGTGTTCCGTAGGGCTGAGTGTCCCATCTCAGACACTCCCTTCCTGATTCCGTCTGACTCACCTTCCCGATGTATTCTCTTCCCTTCTTTGTCAACTGGCACTCTGGATACTTATATAGCGTCTTACCTGTAAATTGTAAACTACTGTGGAAGAATAACAATCAATTTGAACAAATGGAACATAATTTCATTTTCATCCAAATATACAATGTTGAACTGAATGTAGGAGTTTTCGTAAGGCGCCAAAGTAAATACCTTTGATGGATTGGCCCAATACCGTGAGTAGGAATTGGGGATGAGCCCGAATCTGTCCCTACCTAGCAATGTATTCCGATATTAAATACTGAAGTACATATTGTTTATGGTCTTCATTTATAGTATATGAGTGGCACATTTCAATGTGCCACTCGTGTACTACGAAGTGTGATACTCATACTTCATCAGTAGCACATGCTACTGATGGAGTTATGCATTGTTTGACAAATTATGTTGTGTACCCACTGACACAATCATGGGCATCCTTCAACTAGTGTATCTTTCTTGGCAGTGGAAACGCAAAATGTCCACCACATAACCTCATGTCCTTAGGTCTTGGTGATTATTCATATTCCTATCAAAGGATTATTCCTTAGGCTGCACCGGTGGCAGGATTAGGTAGGTGGGTCGATGGCCGATATTTTCCACATAGCCATCGACCGGTGCCAATTGTGGCTTGTAAAGAAATAAAAAAGTGGCTTGAGTAAATTAAAATCTGCCTAATTGGAATCCATGTATTACCTATCACTAGGCTTTCCTGAAACAATAGAGATCATTTTTGGTCTTGCCCAGCCTGTTCGTCTCTCAATGCTTCTGTCCGTGGTTAGCTTGCTCACCATTGCTGCAGTTGAGAGCATTTAGTGGCATCCCTAACAAAAGTGTAGCGTAAATGGAGATGCCATGATTTCCCGTTCTTTCCACTTCTTTCCACTGCCAGTTCCTATAATACGGCTGTGATGTAATTCGATCGATATTTTTGTCTGGGAGAGGCTGGGCGGAGTGGATTTTAATGAAACAGGAGGGCTAGCGCCAAGGCGCGTGAACATCCTCATGTTATTTTTTGTCGGCTTTGCTCGTTCCCTTGGCATCAGCATCGACACCATTGCAATGGGTCGATGGCCGATGGTCCCGATAGTGCAACACCGGCGGGAAAGAACGGTGGTAGCCGAGACATCGGTACAGTCCTATTTATTTCCTAAGGTGTTACTTATGATACAGAGGCTTATAGTGATTCATTCAATCGGAAACATTGCCCTGTTCAGAAGCACAGATACTTCAGTTAGTGAGTTCAGTGAGTTAGTGATATTCTTTGGTTTTTTTCATATCTTTAATGAAAGTGTTTACAGGGTGCTACAAAGTCCACATCATCTCATCTTTTAATTTCCTTTTTGACATCTCTATTTAGATTTGAGGAGCAATCTCAATGAAACACTTAAAACCAGGGCTTCAATTATTTCATAACCGTTGTGCTTTACATTATACTTCTGTTTTTCCATTTTCAGCAAATAAAAAATAATGTTAGCCCTAGTTTTTCAAATTGTACCTAGTAAAAAATGAAAAAGGAAGAAGGAGTAAAACTAAAGCCTCCATAACCTGTCATGATGAATTTTGCGTGCATTTGTTCTGTGCCCTCTACTGATATTCCTCTTAATGTTTAGTAACTAAGAATGAGGCTCGGAAGAAGGAGCCGGTAAACCGGCTGCTGTATATCTCCAGATTCCTTAAATGCCAATGAATGGTTATGTGGAAGTTTCCATCCCATACTGGATAACTTTCCACGTACAAGCCGAAGGAAGGTAGTCATTCTAATAAATAAATTTCTTGAAAGATGTAACATAACTCAAGGGGACTCCCAGCAATTATTGATCATTGCATGGAGAGAGTGTGGTTCCCATTGTCAACTAAGTCTTTTCCGTTATTCCGTGATTTCCGAATTGGGGTAAAGCAGACTCGCAAAAGTTCTCTTGTTTAAGAAAACCGTTTTACCGGGCCACGATATCGATTAAATTTACTGCAACAGCGGAGAGCGAGGAAGTCTCAATTTCCACGAATTCGGCAATAAATTTACTCCAGGTTCGTTGGAGTTCGGTCAAAGGCAGACAACTCCAATTTTTTTGGTCTCTTCGTTGCGGATGAGTCTCTCGGCTCAGGTAGTTGTTAAAGACAGCTAAAAAAGGATCAATTAGCTTCAGGTTTCGAGAACGCATCTCTTGAGTTCGTGAATGCTCTGAGACTTAACAAAAAAGGAGCCATAAATACCCTGCTGCATTGGAGCTTTGAAGGCAAACTTTCACGCTATCACACGATAGGGAATAAAGGAGGCGATTTAAAAATCACTCCACGAAACAAAGGGTGGCCAATTCAATGCCTTTGTCCCCGACAAAGTCCCTGTCCTCAGTCCTTCCACTTATCCTATTTCCGACTTCATAAGGGGTTCCCTTGCCGAGGCAACCTTTTTATATGAATCTGTACAACGAATCACGGCTTGCAACATCAGCCATACGTTCCCCATAACTTTCTTCTCATTTCGAACCTAACCAATCCAGCTCTTTCTGTAGTCCTGCGGGTTGTTTCCCAGGTTATGCTGCCGCCAAATCTTGGCAGTTCAGCAGCTGTGAGTCATCACTGAGAAAGAAAAATGTGTCCCTACCTCTGTATGTGCCCAGAGACGCAAAAAGTTCGAAGAAATACGTTCATCAATCGTTTACCTGGGGACATGCAGTAACAATTGGGTGCGCAAGTATTTTATGAAATTGAGTTCGACGCTCTTACAGGTAATTGTGTTTTCCTTGAAGGAGCTACACCAGGAATCATGTGATGCAGAAGAGCATTCAGCCGTGTGGAGTTGAGAACCATCGGAAAAACCTTCGGGATGCGAACAACGGAAAATCACCATTCCACCCGGTGGAGCTGGGTATTCTCCACTCCAATCCTCAAAGGATACGTAGGCGTTCAGAATCTTTGGATGCTCCGTCAGGCACAGTCCTGTGTTTTAGACAGATTCAATTTATCCCCTTAGCCAATATCCCAAATATATTTGAGGTCGATGACTCACTCTGAACATAGGATGTAAATCCGTTGGCTTCCACAAGGGCACTTTTCCCATTGAGAACCAACTGGCATGAACCATCAGATTCATGATAGTTGAAGGCGTAGCAGGGGGGTGTCTGAAAAATGCATATTTTGGCGCAAGTTCCGAAATTCGCTTGTTTTGTTTCAAAGGTGAAGTTCTCGTATCTCTTCCCCGGATGTGCAGCATGATGGAAAATTAAATCGGTGGAGATCACACCGTGTAAGCAAGAATAGAGGAAAGCGATGATGACCACATGTTTCGTTGCACGGGAGGAGAGCTGTTTCATAGTCACTGCTTATAGACCATGGGATGGAGCAGACTGAGCTAGTTTGCATACGTGGCACAGGTTGAAGGGCATCGATCACTTCTACAGAGACCAAGTCAAACATTCGTTTAATTGACTTCTTCTGTTAGAGTACACGTACCCAAGTAACACAAGATATTCCAGCAACGTTTAAGAAATGTTGATGAACAATGTTGTATCTATGTGTAAATGTCCAAAACTTCAACGTTGCTCAAATGTTGCAAAGGAACATTGCATTTACGTTGCAAATCGCTACTTATTCATTACATATCCGTTGCAGGTACGTTTCCAGGATTTATGTTGCTGCAATGTTGATTAAAAACGTTGCTTCACGGGCACCTAATCTGGGCCTATATTGGCAGTACGGAAAAGCGTAGGCTTCACTGGTCTTGAACTGGACTGATATTCGACCAATATTGAATTATTTATTTCATCCTTTCGTATCATATACTTTACCTAGACTACTCAGACATTCTCATCTCATCTGTACTGGTTTTTATCTCTACCCATGCATAATGCAGTATCTGTATCATGTACAGTCAGGAGACAATACATTTTTGGAGGTGATTATCCCCTGGATGTGCTAAGTTGCACAATACAGGAAAGGTCCGACCGCAACGATCTATGGAGTGTTCTCGAGATCAATCCTTCGTTTCCTCAGCTGGTACCCAAAATGAGGCTGCCTTGAAAAAAAGCCCTTGAGAGACTGCCCTAACAAGTCTCGAGAAGGGGATCTTTCGATTTCCTTTATTTCTTTTACCTTTCTCAAGCTTCGCCCAATTCTGCATGTAGTTTTGTCATATTATGGTTCTGAGATATACTTGTTCTCTGTCCACCCGGGCTAAAGACCTGGCATATCAAGCCTGTACCCATGGGGTGTCTATAAAATGAAAAGGCGATGCTGTTAACGATTTTTGTTCTGTTCTTAGGAGACGCATAAACAAAGTGGGAGTTATGCTGCCCGAAGATTCCTTTGGCTTGCGACTGACAAAGAGGGACGCGGTATTGAGGGATAATGGATTATTCATGCCTACTCCTTTAAACAAATAAGGAAAATGGAAAAACGATTTACTTCAGGACAAGCAAAACTAGAACAATGAAGGTATGTAACTAGATGCCTACGATACTCACATTTTGTTTGAAACCTTTTCCGACTGTAGGCACACACTGTTGGCATAATTTGGCTGAGCGATTGTGTTGGGGTAGGGGGAGATTGGGGAACAGATGATCTGGGAGGTGAGTTTCTTAGATGAACAAAAAAAGCGTCAGAGCATTATGTAAACAGGAATTTCGAGATGAAGGAATCGATGTCCCCTCTCACCGCTAGAGTAACTATGTGTGTTGGAAAATATTTGGAAGTTTCTTTTTTCCTATCTTCTGTACGAATTTCGAAATGCTCTCGGACGGATTTCCTCTTGCTATTCTCAACTATGTTGTAACACACCGTTCATTTTTTTGTAGAAAGACTGATGTCTTTGATGATGAATGATAAATTTTCAATTCATTTGTCGATGATAGAAAGCTTCTATGAATTTGTTTTCAATGTGTTACCAAGTGGTATGCTTAAGAGATATTCAAACTGAAACCAATGCTATAATGAATTTTCTAACCTTGATGGAATCACTTTCCTAATGGATCTTGCAAAGTAGGGTCAATAATACAGTATCCTCTCACCCGCCTAAAGATCTGCTGCGAAACCGACTCCTTCAATTCATGACAGCTTTAGTTTTAATATCCCTTCAGCATACCCAGAGCAGAGGATCGTGACACTCCGAGGTGCGTCGGGATCGAATCACCGGTGCATGAAAGCCATAGTAAGGTCAGGCAGAGATCAGACGATAGGGCGTTCGGTCGGGCTTTTCCCGTTTCGATTCTTGGAAAAGACTTCCAGACGTTTAGGACGAAGAGCGGGGCAACCGGCTCCGCACGGAAGAAAGCCTGCAGCGGTGCGCTCGCGTTCGATATCCGAGTGCAGAAAGATGGCTTTGAAAGGCATCCTAAGCAGCATGTTTATGTTAATTTTATGTAAAAGGAATGTAAATTTTTTGTCCATTTTATATCATCGTTTTTATCATTTTTACGCAAACCCTTGTCAAGAAAATGTCAACATGTTTGCAGAAATGTCACCTCTGTGATACGTAAACGGTGATATGAAATTAACGTAAATTTTACGTAAAATTGACATTCCCGTTTGCACACCAAACAGCATGTTTGCATTCAGTTTTACGTAAGATTTATGTTAATTTTCCCCTGGAATTCATACGTATTTAAAGAGGCATTCAGTACCATTAAAGAAAATAGATACACTAAATCTCCTATTCCTTTACGTTCTTCAGTACTCTAGGGTGGTTGGACAAGTACACAAGTACTCATCCTCACCTGCAATCAAGAGTACCAAAGTAACCTACTCCTTCCTCCTCCCGTACCGGAATCACAGAAGAAGTTGTAGATGTTCAAAGGAGCTCTCTTCCTTTAAGGATAGACTCGATGTAGTACTTGTAGGGCTGGGATTCTACTCTTCCTAATCCCGTGCACTGCTGTAATAAAAAGCTTAACTTCAGCATTTATTATTATAAAAATATATTATTATGTATTATAAAAATATATTATTATATATTATAAATACATTATATAAAAATATATATAATAATTTCATGTTTTCCATATATAAATTCATGGATTGCATAATAAAAAGTAGAAGGATGGGAAGAAAACCTCATACTATATCAGGAAAACCAGTACTTAATAGTAATTGTAGGATGCAGAGAACAAGAGTTCCATCTAGTGAGGAATCTTGGTACTGCAACTTCAGGATGGTCAGCTAAAGTTTCATATGGATGGTGTGGTGTTAATTTTTCATAAACTTGATATCATGTACTTCACGTCAGATGGAGTGACGTCAAGTTGGTGTAAAATACACGTTCACTTTGGTGACCTAAATAAGGGAACGTAAATTTTACGTAAACGTGATGTCATTTTCATGGCAATCGCAAGAAATTTACATTGTTTGCAAAGAAGAGATATCTTGTTTACGTGAACATGCTGCTTGGGATCCTACCGAAGCCTCCGCGTGCATGGGAAAAAAACAAACCAGAATGGAGCATCGTCGACGTACCGGCTCCATACCCTTCAGGCCCCACTCGCCCGACTCTTCTTCGGCCTCGCGGGCTCGCCCGAGGCAGGGACTCAGGGAGATAGCGCCTGTTCCATCCTCCGCGGTGCA